CCTCAGCACCAGCCGCCGGCCCCTCGCCCGCCGCTCCATTCTCAGGCACGGGAATCCCTCTCTCGGAGGCAGGCACCAGTTCCCTCATGCAGCCCAGGCCACCAGCATAGCTGCTCTCTGCTGGCCACGTGCCCTTGCCCTGCCCTGCCTTCAGGTCGCCCTTCCCACCAGAGCCGTCTTCCTCTCCATCTGGGGGCAAGGCGCGCCTGGTGCATTCCATGGGCAGCGGGGGCTTGGTGTGAGGTAGGATTTTGGCATAGGCCCCGTCAGGAATGACTATGCATTGAGCCTTCTCGTCCACGCCTGCTGGTGGCTCCACTGGAAAGAGAAAGGGGAAAAAGTCGCGTGTTTGTCTCATTTCGGAAATTTGCCCTCCCTGCCCAGCACATGCACGTGTGCTCACCCAAAGCACACGTCTCAAAGTGTATTTCCTACCAGCTTAACCAGGTCTACCAAAGTAGTCTCTCAACATCCTCTCCTGCTGCTGACCCAAAGATGCTGGGCAGCTCTGCCTGACAAGTTCCTAATATCTGGATAGAGAAAGCATCCCACTTTTGTGCAAATGGAAGAGAAAAAGGAGTGACTTTCTAAAGCCATTGAGGTCCTTCTATCATAAGGACTCCCAAGCCTACAATGTCCTGCCCTCTACTCAAACTTCTCTACAGGACTGTCAGAGCATGGCACCAAGACAACTGCTCTTCTGTGGGGCTGCAGCCTATCTCCCACACCCATCATACAGTCTTTCCTTTTGAGACCTTTAGCAATTCTGAAGTCCAGTTTTGCATAGTTAAGTGGTCTTTAGTAGCTCCTGCTTCTAAAAGTGCTCTTTTAAAAACTCCTTCTGAAGTTACACCTCTTGTGGAAAGGCACATATAGACTGGATCCTTAAGATACAGGCCTGTTGTAGTTCGCAAACCACCAGTAAGCTGCAACTCTACCAGAGTAACATTGCACACGTGGGTTTGGTCTGACGTGAGGGTGTCCAGAGGCTGCCTAATGGAGAGGCAGAGTTGGGAAATACCACAGTGGGGTCCACAGGAGAGCAAGCTAAGAAGCTGGGGTAACAACAGCTTGATTTCAGCCTGTGTTGTCCCTTCTAGTCCACGAACCTCACATACCCATAGCTTGGGCAGAAGCGCTACCACACAGAGATACTGTGGAGGCCAACTGCAGCCATATTTTAACCAACAGTGATTTGAACAGTTTCTTTGCCCTGCAATCACTCAGTGTCCTCCCCCAGTCTCTGTTCTATATCCAGCACAGTTAAATGATGATAACTTTTAAGTAATGCCACACAAGGAATGAGTTTCCTCTTAGTGAAAGGCACACGAGGGATCGATAAAAGATGCAAGGGTTTTGATCTCTAGTTTACCAGCTAAAATTACTGAAGAAAAAAAAAATTTTTTTTGATCTCTGGGTTTTTTTGATCTCCACTTTAGGTTTGTTTTATTTTTAAAGAGCTTTTTTGATCTCTAGTTTATCAGCTAGAATGAATGAAATTCACCTAGAAAGAAACTTGTGATGGCACACACAGCATGCTGCCATCCCACCTGAACTGACATGGATGCTCGGGGCCTTTTGGGCTGTCCTGTTGTGTGAAGATTTTGAGATGTGGAGAGCTCACAATGCACATGTGCATTTCAGAAGAGAAGCCATATTGACATATACTCGGAGTATATGTAAACCATTTATTCACATAACGTCTCCATTCCTTACCTAATTCTCTACAGATCCTACTTTTATATTAAGTCCAAGCGAGCCCTAGAAGCATCACAGCCTGTGCTTTGCATTTCACCCCGTGGCAAACTGACAACTTGCAGGTTATAGCTGGGACAGAGGGGACCTCTGGCAGGCTACAGTGAAACAAAACAAGTTTAGAAAAATCTGAGTGATGGCTGGAGCAGAACACAGATTCAAGTTTAGATTAAAAAGACACATATGAAAAATGTGTGTCCCACAACTATTTAATCAAGAATCATGTTGCTGAACCTCAGCCACTGTTTAAAATTGACTCTGGTAAGCCTGAAAGTCAGAACATATTTTCCACTACTCCACGGGCGCAAATCCAAATAAAGCCACATTTGCATCCATTGGTTTTGTGCATCTGCGAGGCAGTTGAGACCCTACGAGTTTCAAGCCCAAGAGCAACAAAGCTGGCCTAGGGGTGTTCCCTCACCCTCCTCGTAAGCGCACACTGGTGGGCAGAGGGTCTGCCCTGGCATGGGAAGTGCTGGGAAGGATGCCTGGCAGTGAGCAAAGGGGAGGTGGGCAGGAGAATGTAGGCAACGGATGCAGGCAAGGAAGGTCAAATGCTGCCACTGGGTGCTTGAGGGGTTACCTTGGTTGCTCTCCGTGTCCAGGGTCTGACCGGTGGGGTCCTGTGAGCTGCCATTCCCCACGACGGGTTTTGGGGGCTGCATGCCAGGGGCAGAGGCGGCGTGAGCCAGTTGGGGAAAGGGTCCGGGGAGGTGCGGGGGAGGCGGCTGGCGAGGGTGATAAGGCACACCCGGCGGGCACACACGGGAGGACAACTGCTGCATGGCGATCATTTCGGGGCTGTCCATCATGGAGTCCCCGCCCTGGCACCCTCTTTGAACCTGAGGTGGTCCCCCAAATAGAGTGGCCGGTGACTGCGGCATCCTCTGGCTGGTGGCTTTCCCGGACGGTCTGATGTATCCTGAGGGAGGCACCCCGTGAGGTAGGAAATTTGATTGCTCGGTCCACTGGCTAGGAGGCAGTGGTGGCCTCATGGCCCGGGGGTCCATCATATGACCCAGGGCACGGGGCTGGAGCGAGGGCCCTGGCCCTATGGGCACCTTCTCCTCTAGCCCCACGGCACCCTGGCTGGCAGGACCGTGGCTGCCATTCCACAGGGCTGGGTGAGCACGGTTCAGGTACTTGTAGGGCCGGTACATGTGTCCTGGGGGCACTTCCGAGCCCTCTGGTGGCCTCACAGGAGGCCCGTTGTGCCTCGGGGGAAGGAAGCCCTGCTGGAATTGGGCTGGCGGATAGATGGCATCGGGTGGGGGGCCACTCACACGCCCCAGCTGCAGGGCACCTGGCCGGGGGCCGAGGCCGGTGACGTGTGTTGGTCCTGCACACGCCTGCTTCTCTGGGGTGGCCAGCCTGTGCCCGCGGTGCTCGCTCAGTCCCATGGCCGGCTGGGGGGGAGGGGAATTTTTTTTTGAGTCTCGGTGACAGCTGTCTCACCATGAGGACCAGAGAAGACCTGCAGGTCCCAGGGCGCTGGATCCCTTGGCATTTCTTACCTGCATGGCAAAGTGCTGGTGCTGCTGGACTGGGTCTCCGGGATGGGGCTCAGGCACTCGTGGCGAGCCGTACAGTTTCGTGGGATCTGATCCACGCAGAGGACCAAATGTTCCCGGCACAGCAGGTCTCTGAGGGACAGGAGGGGGAAATAAATTTGTGAGGCACAGAAAAGTGGCAGAGATGCTACAGGTGAGGAGAAGCTGAGGCTGGTGGAACTACACAGATGAGCAGGTGGGCTTTTTGGAGGTACCATGAAAAACCTGTAGTTTCTTTCCTACAGACACAGCTCCCCTGCGAAAGCCACTTCCTGACACCTCAACCACATGTCCCTGTGCTCAGGGTTGCAATACACTCAACTTGCCACCCAACTACCGGGGAGCGAGCAAGAACACTGGAGGGGGGGCAGTGGTTTGCTCCAAGGAGAGGAGCAGGCAACAAGACTGTGCAAGCAGGATGATGGGCAATGTGCTCAGTTTCCTTCAGAATACTTGTTGCCTCCAGCTCTCTTACAGCCTTCCCCTGTTTGCATCATAAGAATCACTTTAAAAATGTTGTTCGATTTCTATCTAAAAGGGTGAGGGATAAACTGGATCTCAGAGGAGCAGCTGACACCACACCACAAGACATCACTGATTAAAATGGAAAAGGCAGTGAAGGATCGGTGAGGAACAGCCCAGAGGGGAGGCAGAACAGGTGGCATTCAAAAAAGAAATGTTGGGCTAAAGAGAGGTCACTGCTGCAGTCCAGGGTGGCCTTGTGTTTGACTTCATTTACTGCTTTCAGAAATACTCAAAGCACAAAACGCAGTAGTACACAGATGGCACAAAGTTACCAGGCACCTGTAAACAACTGAGACAAAAAAAGACAGGCTTGTCCAGCATCATAAACTGGAGCTTAGAGTGGAAATGTGACAGCTTTCCATGCACAATGGAGAACCTCTCCAAGGAGAGAAGAGAACTGGAGGAGCCAGGGCTAGCGCAAGCTCACACAGGGACATGGGAAATGTTCAGAGACTGTTTCCAGCTAGTGTGGCAAAGATTAAAAGCATCCCAAATTTAAGGGCTGAAAAGTTTCCCTTGTAGAAACTGTAGCCTTGAGCCTTAACTTGTGGGAAAAGGTTCTTGCACTGCAGTAGGATTTCACAATAGAGAGCTTCGTTCCCCTTTACCTCCCTCCACAGGCCTGATGGGTGCAGAACATCAGAAATTGGTCCTTACCATCTGGCCGGGATGTGGCCCAGGGCTGGGCATGCTGCTGTACTGCAGAGAGCGAGGGAAACCTCGCCCGTTGGAAGGGCCCACTTCTCGAGGAGGCTGCATTGGATTGCCACTTGGATCCTCTACAGAGGATGAGGAGAAGGAGGAGGAAGAAGACGAGGAGGAAGAAGCAGGAGCCCTGGAAGTAGCTCGAAACGGTGGAGGTTTTCCTCCATTTTCCAGGCGCTGCTGCCTCTTGCCTCCATCCGGGTCTCGCGACCGAGTCCAAACACTGCCTGTGCTGGAGCGGCCACTCCGCCGGCTCCTCTTCTCTCGTCTCCCGTCTTCTCTGATCCAAAACTCTTCATCTGTGTCTCCATCTTCCCCAGGGAAGTGCTTCATCATTGCTCGGTGGAAACACCTCTCTAAGTTGTAAGCCATCTTGGTATATTCTGCAGTGAAAAAAAACCCAACAACATCAGGGACAGAGCCTTATAGAGGGAAACGATTAAGCAACACCAGACTTACTCCATCAAGTGAATCACCTCCCCCCCCACAAAGTTTCTTTGAAGAAGGCTTTTGTTTCTAACTAGTCAACTTTGGTTTAAGTTTTTAAACTGGGTAAGCAACACAGCATCAGATTTGTTCAGTAACCCAGTAACCTCACCAGAGGACAGGCACACACAGGCATGACAAAGTACCATTAGCGGCACAGCCTGCAGAGTCAGCATTAACTAAGTGTTCCAGCATAGTGCCAAGAATTACATTATGAGAAACACCATCTCTGCTTGCAGGGATGCGTGACCTGCAGTTAGCCAGCAGAGTGCTGAGAGAAGAGATGTGAACTTCCAGCAATGCCATTTGATTACATTCAGAGGCTTTTCTTGGACTCACTCAAATCTCTGCTGATTTTCCTCTGTCTTGTAGCATACAGCAAACATATTTAGCCATGTACAGTTTTTAAAACACTTGCTGACCCTGACACAAAAGCTATTGCCAACACCAGTGTCCCCATTGTGCCATTTCCACAGGACAGTTCTGCTCAGAGTGGCTCACCCTTTTCATTGGAGTGTATAGGAAGGAAAAGACACGTGAGAGGTGTTAACGACAAGGGCTTGAAGCAGATGACTTTCTGGTTGTTTCCATTAAACTAAACCTGAAGTTCCTTTGGAAACAGAGCTCTGCCTGTGGTAGTGCAGGAACACTTTTACTTGGGGCCCACAGCAACAAGCCAGGTATAACTCTATTTTTCCTTTCAAGGTGGTGCAGGTGAGACACAGTCTGTACTGATGATCCAGCATATGGGACCCAATTTCTTACCTAAGTAACATGTAGAATTTTAATTGGCATGGTAATTAAACCCAGGGTTTGTCTTTGGAGATTCACATTGTTCATTCAATAGCCAAGGAACCTAAAAACTACATTTCCCATCTAAAGGACTACAAGCCTAATTCATTCCTTACTTTTCTGTGGTACTCAACTAATACTGCCAAGCTAATTGGACTCCAATGCTTCTCAAAGTCTGTATTAGATACTCTGAGAAAAAAGGGCACACAGGCACAAGCAAGCACACAAAGAAACGAGCTCAGGAAGAAACAGACTTTCTTCTCTTTGTATGTTCTGCCTTCAATATCTACCAACATGCGAGTCCTTTAGTATGCCCTGCCTCAATTCAGCACCAAGAAATTGTGCTAAAAACCCCACTAAAACCCCAGGTCTTATGGCTCAGGAGCTCCTACTCCTGAGTGCCTGGCCTCCCACAAATAGCCTGAAATAGAATAAGCACAAATCAAGTACTGGTGAGTAGAAAGAGATCACCACTTGCTTTGACTGATCATTGCAAATAGGCAAACTTAGTATCTTACTGCTCTTACCGCTGCCTTCACCATTGTACTTAAGACAGTTCCTGAACATGGTCTTCATATCACCCACAAATTCTTCCTTGGTGCAGTACTGACCTCCATTCAATTTCTTCTCCATGCTAGAGATGTCCATGGGAGCCTAAAATGCAACAAAACCTCCCTTCAGTTACAGCAAGTGTAGTGGGGCTTACAAAGTTGCATCTAGCTTCTTCACAGAGAGGGGATAGGGAGGTCTCTCCTGAGAGGCAGCCTCTCATCTTTGGTTTCTTTATCTTGTAAGACTACAAGGGACTACTGGGGTCATGCAGTTTGACTGTGAGGGTAACACAGCTCACAAAACTTCTAAACACTTCCAAAAAACTGCATCCCACACAAACTGCAACAGTCAAGCTTGCTGGACCAGTTCCATACCTTAATGATCTGGTAGTAGTTGGGAGCGTACGATTCATCAACGGGCTCCAAGAAGGGCCAAGAGTCCTTATGAGCCTTTACCACATCTAGAACTAGCAGCAGCAAGAGAATGGTGAACAGTTACACACACGCAGACACAACCAGGGGAGTATTTCACTTTGAGCAAGTTGCATGAAGGGGAAAGCTGGGGCAGGACTAACCTTTGTACATGGCTGTGAACTCATCGTCCAGTTCAAAGCTGTAAGGCAAGCACAATAGTGAATATGCAGACTGAGGACATATAAGACATGCTTTCATACTTCTTCTTCCCATCCACTCCACACAGAGTGCCGTAATACTGACAAATGGGCCTCAACACAAACTCTCCTCTAGCATGGACCAAATCCAGATGTTTCTCAGCTTACTCCTTGCTGTTCTCCAACCACACTTCTCATTCCCATGAATGATCACACTCCTCTCCTTCCATACTCACTACTTCAATGCACTGGCATGCTGCATACTCACAGATCCTTGGTCCTTCGCTCTTCCCTGGAAGGGGAACTGGGATCCAAGTGGGAGAGCTCAGGAGGGAGCTCCTTCCCCTGTGCCAGCAGCCAGGCCCGCTCTTCACGAAGCTTCCTCCTCCTAGCCCGTTCTGCAAAGGTGAGAGGGGAGATGTGAAAAACCAGTCAGTGCTCCTTGTCAACAACATCCTGCAGGGAAAATGGAGGCAGATCCTGCAGCTCTCAAGAACTCCAGTGAAGCATTCTTGTTCTTTCAGCAAAAGCAGCAACAGCACAGGAGCACTGTTCACAGGAGCACACCTCTTCATTTTCCCCTTGACTTTACAATCATTTTGTAGATTTTTTTTTTTTTTTTTGAACCATTACTATGGTATGGATGCTTCCCTAGGGAGCTTCCAGACAAATTCCTGACCATGGCGTGGTACAAAGAGAGAAGTTCAACACACAGACCTAGCACAGATCATCACTGTGGAAAGATCTGGCTTATTAAGTTACCATCTTTCAGATGATTCACCTCAGTCACGTGAACTCAAGGCAGTTGGTTTTGCACTTAAGTGGATGAAGAGCAGTGCTGAGGGAAGGGTGAAGTTCTACCAGCTGGGTGGCAAGAGGTCATTGAGGTCAGTAATATCCTCCACCACCACCACAGCTAGCTTTGGCAATACTGCTCAGGTAGGCCTTCAGAGCCATCAGCCAGAGTGAGCAAGCTGCCACACAGGAGGGCCACTGGGACAACTTTGGTTTAAGAAGTGAGAGACAGGAAGAAGCCACTCTGGTAATATAACTTGTGGTTTGCAACCAGACAGCTGGCTAACAGATTGCTTCATAACAGAAAGTTTATGGGCTCTTATGAACCTCATTTCCTTTCTCTTATAGGAAATCTGAATTCATTTGACTTGCTAAACACCTGCAGTTCTACCAACTTTCTGTAGGAACTCCTGTTAAAGTCATGTTCAAAGAAAGATGTCATAGGAGTAAGACCCCAGAAAACAGGCCACGTTAGGGAACACTCTGAGAGAAAGATATATGGGGGAGACATGGCTAATACCCTCTAGCAGAGGTTCCATCTTTGGAAATTGCCAAAGGCTCAAGAAGCACTAGCTCTGGTGGAAGAGCATTAATTTACTGTCTTACTCTGTCAGTCAAAACCAAAACAGGGATGGGGGTTAAAGGCACAAGAAAACTAGGTTTAGCTACAAGGTGGGTATTTCCAAGGAGGTCTATGGACAGGTATGTCAAAGATTGATAAAATAAATTCCAGATTCCCCATTAGAAATATAGTCCTGAAGTTGGGAGGACTGGACTTGCATCTAAGATGTTCTACAGAATCTAACAGCGTCCATTATAACACTTAATGATGAGAAATTCACATCCAATTGCAGTTAACAGAGATGATCTGCATCTGTACAAGCACAGTTCAGTATTTCATGCTTCTTTCCTAAAATTAGCATCACTTCGATGACACTGTAATGGATGCCTAAGTGAGAAAGCTGAGAAAAACATAAGGCTAGGATTCAGGCAGCAAAAGGAAAATCTCATGGTAACAGTAGTCAAGAGGTAAGGTGATGTAGATTTTGGAGATCCATCAAGGCCTGCCAAGGATCTGACCTCATAAACTGACAAGAATCACGGAGCCCTGATACTGGACTGAAGCTCAGTCAGGATTAATGGCAAGTCCCTCAACTTCAGCAAGTAACTAATACAGCAAGTTAAAGATCCAATGAGCCAGAGCTCATTGTTGTGCTGTCAGCCTGGCTGTGTCCTATCCAGCAGCTTTCAAAATCTAATCAATGACCTAGAAACAGCTATAAAAACAGCTCAAACAGCTAGAAAGTCATATGTGTGAGAGATAATGTTAGAGCAGCATCTGGGAAGAGAACTGGGAAACTCTAAACTGCTGTTATGGTAGAAATCTAGAAAGCTGCTTTAACTCACAAATTCAGGAAAGCACAGATGGGCTCAGCAGGAGGCTCCGCTACCTGGGGCACGTGTTGGAGAAGGGGGAAGTGAAATCCCAGACTGGTAACAGGACCATGGTCTAAAAACAGACATACAGTCCAAAACTGAAAAGCAGGTGAAGTGGTGATGAAGTTCATCAGAGGGCAGGTATCTCATGTTTCATATCACCCTTCTACATAAGATGTTACAGAATTAACGTTAAATCCCAAACAGACTCTAAAATTCAACAAGATCTTTGTTAGCATAAAAATCTCTCCTACAAATGTCCAGTTTTAACAAGTCTGAACCAAGCAAAACAAATGACTTAATTTTCAAATCACTTTCTGTCCACCAAAAGAACTGTCACAAAATTAAATGCTAATGGAGGGTGTGCTTGGCAATAAGGAAAGATGGTTAAGAAGCCAAAGTTTTACCTGGATAGCTGCCGTTTCTAGGGATGAAAAATACTGCAATGATTTAACTGAACAAATCAGCCATTTAAAAAACCTTTCCAAATAGCTTTTGCACCAGATTAAAATGAGACTTCTCCTGACCTAGGCTGAATTGACTAGGGACAAGTTTAATTTAAACTAAAAGAAACTGCACAAACCAAAGTAAAAGCATCTCTGCCAAGAAAAACACAACTGTATGCTAAATTGTCTTTAAACAGTTTACTGCCCAGTCCCACAAGAGTTTCTTCTAGTGGCTCTGGTGCCTTTGCACCAGATGATGTAGTGATTGCATTTACCCAGAAAAGGATATGGCTTATACCAAACCAAGACCTTATTACAGGTACATTTATCTTCCCAAGTCTTCTGGAACTTCCAAGATTAATTTTGTCTCTACAGATGGAGAATTAAAGCACAGAGAATATGCAATTTACCAAGATGAAGGAGCTATCTATTGCAGATATAGAAGCTGGATGATTCTCAGTTTAAAACACCAGATTAGCTAGAACTGTTAACCAGGAATATATGAAGGCCAAGCAAGTAATTGGATTTTCTAAAGGTTAGAAAGTTAAGCAGGTAAAAGAAACTATTCTTAGATAACATCTGGTCTGCTACCAAACATCTGGTAGCAGACTGTTTAATCTTTGAAAGTTTACAAGGTTTTCATGAACTTAAATCTTTTTTCCTTTTCTGATCCTTTATCCAGCTAAGGGTTCACAGTACTGATGGTGCCACACGCCACCACCAGTTTCCTGAAGATTTTCAGCCTCTCCCTGGAAGTGCAACGGCCAAGCCAGCCACTGTGGCAAAAGCAGCAGATAAGGGAATTCCCACAAGGAAGGCTGGCAGAGAGAAGGTGTTCAGAAATGAGCCTGCTCTTAGATATCAGTGCCTAAATGTACTGGCTGAACACCTGCCAGTCTGTGCCTCGATCTGACATATTAAACACAACCTGGCTGTTTCTTGCAGAACAGCTTAATTCAGCATTTAGTTCAAAACCACAAAATAACCAAGGCCAACACATGAAGATGCTACCTCTGGTGTTCTGTTTAGCCTGGTGTCCTCATCTTTAGTTCTCCAATTGGTAAGGCTAATAGCAATACAAAAATACTACTCATGCTACTTCGATGCTGTCCCCTTCCCTTTCTCCTCAAAGGGAAGCCTTCTTTCACCGTGCATTGGGCCAAAATGACCAAATGCTCTTTAGCAAGAGCAAAGCCAGCTAATCCTGCACACAGGGAAATCCATGAGGAGGCAAGAGAGTAGACAGAAGAGAACTGAAGAACAACCTGAGTAGCAGGAAAAAAAGGTACAGCTGAGGCAAGGCAGAAAAGTGTGATTTGAGGAAGAAAACACAACTGAAGGGTGCATTAGAGAAGAGCCACCCACACTGAGGGAGACAGACAAAGAAAAAGAAGCTACAGTCAGACCAATTTATCAGAGTTAAATGCAAGAAGAGATATTCCTGTTAGCAGGTCTAGCAGGGGAGGAATGAAAATGGCAGAACTTAATTCAAGATCTCAATCTTGGCTTTGAAAGCTTCCACCCCTGCTTCACACTGGCCTCATGTACCTTCCACTGCTTTGACCTTCTCCTCCATCTCTCTCTTCCTCTCCTCCTTTAGTAGCTGTTCCTGCTCCCTCTTCTGCACTGCTATAAGGATTTGACGCTCCTCTTCCTCCTCTCTGCGCCTCTGCTTCTCCATTGAACTCAGCATGTTGGGGTTTACCTGTGACAAAACAGTGCACCAAAAACTGTAATGCATCGGCTTATTGAAGCCTGAGCAGAGGCAGGTTTACTTTGAGCAAATTTTAAAGCACACCTACAATGAATGGCTGGGGGAGGGGGAAAGGAGGAAAAAAAAAAGATTTGTACATATGAATTCTTGGATGAAAAGCAACATGTAAAGTTATTTGTCAAGCAATGAAATCCTACTGAGACGGGGACAAAGGAAGGAGAAGCGATGGGTTAGACAAGCTGCCACTCCGCCGGGGATGCACCGCGTGTATTTCCCTCCTGGGCAACGGATTCAGGCTGCTGACACCCCCACACAACACCTCTACCCTTTCCAGCTAGCAGAGCCCTGCCTTGCAAGCGTGATTTTTTGCTGAACCTGGCTCTGCTATAAAACACTGAGTACTTAAGACAGGAAAAGAGACCGGTACAGCCCTGCATTAACTGAGGTACCATTTGTAGGGTTTTCCTTTTCTGTTCAAAATAAGGCCTGCCATATATCTGTGTGCTAATCTCCCCTGAACTAGCTCTCATTTATTCTGAGTCCCCCAACCAGTTTTCTCACTGAAGGATGCCTGGCTCTTTATTGCTTCACTTCCTCACCCCACCACTGCCAGCAGGCTGCAAGGCTCTGTTTGATCCTGCTTAGACTGCAGGCTTCCCAGATCAGAGATTGCCTGCTCCTATTTCTCTAATACAGTGCAAGGTATATATATGTCAGTGTGGAACAACCTTTATTAGATTAATTTAATTATAAGACGAATGAATTGGTCATCCACCAGCCACCCCCATCTCTTTGGCTTCTGCAAAATCAAGACACGTGTGCCTTATCAGCAGGGGATATCAACTAGAAAAGAACAATGTTCATAGTTTTCTTCAACTTTATTTTCAGGGAATAACTGGCAAGCATCACTTAGGCAGAAAGCATTTCCTGAGGATTAGCAATCATCTGGGGTCCTTTGGCTGTTGCTCAGACCATCAGCTTGTCCAGGCCGATTACTAGTCCCCAGAAAAAAAATCCAGCACCATGATTACTATTTCGTCCTTGTTTCATTGCCTGCAAGTGGAACCTTGGGGGGTTTTGATAAATATCTAGAAATATTGTCTGGTTTCACTGTACGTTCACTCCTGCTCTACCCCCCCTTCCCCTACGCAGCATTGCCCTACAATCTCCCTCTGCAGCTCTCTGTGGACGAGTATTGTGTATTATCTCCCCATCTCCAGCAGCAACAAAATATTAAGTGAATTATGCCTCAACCACCAACAGCCACAGAGAAGTGCTGAAGAGAGAGTGATGGGACTCTTGATGACATTAAGATCAATTCCTGCATCTAGGGACAGACTAGACCACAAAAACATCTATTCTGTGATGATCTTTTTAGGTGAAGCCCACACCACAAGGGAACTCTGCCCATCTTCTTTTCCTTCTCAGATATTTGCCAAATATTACTACTTTTCTATTGCCTTCCTGAGGAAACCATTCTGCGAGTCCACATGCCTTTAGGTTAGCCAGCTTCTCCTCACACTCAGTTTAAAGTTAATTTCTCATCCCCTCATTCCCTCTAATTATTCCTAGTTACGCTCTTCTGGGCAAGCATAAATTCTCTTCTTCAGCCACATTCCAGCCTTTATGGGCTTCCCCAGACACTTACACGAATCTCGCATGTTTCTGTAATTAGGTTAAATGTTTCCTTAAACAGCAGTTCTTCCAGCTCCCTAATTATTCCAGTTGTCTCTCTCAGACCTTTCCCATGGCTGATCAATATCCAAATACCAGGACGCCCAGGGCTGAAACTGCTATGCCAAGTACAAGAGCAAGAATCTACAGAACTGGGTTCTACATTTCCAGTTTTGAGTCTTTTCATATTCCTTTCTCAGCCACTCTACCCTCCTGTTTTCTACTCATGCACTGCCAACTACTGCCTTTCAGGCCAGATCCTGACCACTGTCAAACAGTTTCCCCCTAACTTTATTATCAATATTTAAACTGCAGTAGGAACCAAACCAGTCAGGTTCTGCAGCAATTAGAAGAGAAAGAAGTGAGCAGGAACCAGCCACCAGAAGTTGGTACACCCAGATATCATTTTGAGGATGTGACCATCAGCCTTTAGATTCCTCAGCCAGAAGATCTGAGCCAGTCTGGCGTGCCACACTAATTTCTTCAACTGCTGGTACATAGATCTGACCTTCCCTTTCCCTAGATTCACACAGCTTCCACAATCCATATCCTGTGGAAACATGAGCACAATACCAAAGCTGCAGTGCTCACACCAGGACCTCTCCAAGCCTGCAGAGCATTCAGCACCCTATACTGTAGCGGCACAACACAGAACCCCTAGCACATTCCAGATCAACCCACCACAAATATGGCATCAACAAAACAACAGGACAATTTTAAGCAGAGCAGAGGATGTCATCCTAGCAGATCTAGGAAAAGAAGAAAAGGGAAATGCAGAAACCACAAACACTGTGTAGTGGGCACCAAGGACTGTAGCAGGTGCCCACAGCTGCACTTGCTCCCTGCAGTGCTTGCAGGGCAGCAGCAATGCTGGCATGGGCTCTTTGAGACAGTTCAGACACGGGACTAGCCTGGTTTTCAGGGGGACCTACTGCCTGGTGTCCCACTTAAGTCCATTGTGGATGAGTGTGCTCATCTCAGGGTTAAAAAAATAAGCAAACACAAACAAGTAAACTCCTATTAGATGTGATACAGGCAGACACCTACTGGAATGGTAAAACCAAGAACCCAACACAAATGAAACTTCCTTACTGACCAAAGAGGTGGCAAAGGGATGCTTCTCCAGCTTCTTCCCCACTTGGAGGATAAAAACCACCCCTCGCATCTGTGACCGAAGTATCACCACCTCGTTCCCTCCGCCAGAGAGCACTCCAGGACACAACATCGCCGCCCGCGCCCCAGGACCCCGAAAGGGCCAAACTTCTGCCCTTTGCTTTGCTGCCCAGACAGCGAGTAACAGAGTTCAGGGGCAGAAGGCCAGGAGGCGGGGGTGCCCCAGGCCCCTCCAGCCACTCACCCTGGCCCCTCATCCTCCAAACCTCCCCTGCTCCAGCTTCCACAGTGCTGCCCTAATGAGGGTGCTGCTCAGGCGGCTCTTTAATGAGGAGCTAATCTGAACCACCTGTTGAGAAATCCCCCGCAGGATTAGGAGCCCACGGAGCAGTTACGTCTTGGACCCAAGCAGCATCCAGCTCACGGAGTTGGGAAGAAGAGGTCACCCCTGCGCTGGGCTGAGGTTTTTCTCCTCGAGATTCGCCCGCTGCCCACCCCTCACTTGGCAAAGAAGCCATCAGACATGCTGGCACCTTCCCCAGCTCCCCCGTGGCAGGGCTGACTGCCACATCCTGCTGGGGAGCCGGTGCGAGCGTTGCCACCCTCGCTCCCCACGCAGCGGGTGCCGGGAGGGCCCCCCTGCTCGCTGGAAGTGTTTCACTGGCCCACAGGCAACAATTAACAGCCCTCTGCTGCTGCAGACCTGGAGCACCTGCGGTACTGATTAGCATCATTCAGGCTCCATGTGTTTCCCACTCCCCTCCTCCTCTGGGATTTCTGCTGCCTGTGAACAAACACGTGTCCCTGCCCTTCCTGCACAGTGGGCTTTGCACAGAGCAGCTCTGGCCCCAAACTGACCATCGCCGGGGTCTTATTTTGCTCTCGGCAGGCTTTTATCTGCAGCAGGATGAGAGGTTCTTCCTTCCTTTTATTTATCCGTTCAAAGTAATTACACTTACTGTGGGGAACTATACTTTCTCCTTTGTTTTGTGAGAATCCCTGGCTCACGTGGAATATTCCCTGCAGTTTAATTTCCCAGGGTTTGACAAAACACCAGGTAACTACATTTTCATTCCATCTACAGCAAGAGAGCATGCCACGGCCTGATAGAATCAAGCCAATTTTTTCCTCCAGAGCTAATCCTGCGTTGCCTGACCAATTGCTTTGGGCAGCAGTTGCCAGTTCAAAGACACCCCGTCTCCACTGTACCATGCCCCTGGCTATGCCAGCGTGACTGTTGGGGGCTGCGTGGTGAACTGGATCGGAAAGCTGATCTACGTTAAAAATAACCCCGACCAAAGAAAAAGGTTATATTTAACTCCAGCCATTTTCCTGGGTCTGGTTCACTGCACAGACCCGCAAGCGGCAGCGCCGTGACGCTGATGGGGTGGAGAGGAGATGAGGGTGAAGAGGCACAGAAAGAGCCATTTCAGCTGACGAGGCTGCAGTTTGATAAGCGTTTCTTTAAGCAGCCTAAATTGTCACTTCCATTTCCAGCTGACCCCCTCCTAGCTCAGTGCCGTACCGCATCAGTCATTCTTCTCTCCCTCTGCACTATATACACCCTCGTGTGTTTGCAGCCTCATGTTTTCCCCTTGGCTGAATTTCTGTCATTTCCCTTTGTAAGCCGGTTCTTCTAGCCCTCTCATCCTTCTTCAACTTTTCTTTGAACTGCCTCGAATGTGCCAGCACTTTCATTGAAGTGGAATTCCCCAGGCTGAGTGCAGATTTCCATCTGCAGCTGCAGCGGAGTCTGTGGCGAGGCCGGTTACCTCTGCGATCCAGAGGGCAGCACCTCCCTGCTTGCCATAGAAACCCAAAGTGTCAGCCCGCCTTTGACAGGCATTACCACCCATCTCTCTTTCAGCACAAGCACTTTCAAGCGACTCCTTCCCACTGAATAGCGATGCTGCGGTGGTTTATTTTTTCCCCCAGGAGGCATCTGCTCTGGCCTCCCTCCGTCGTCCTCCCCCTTGCACCCCCCCTCACCTCCTGCTTGATTGGTTTGATGGGCTGATGGTCAGACATCCACCTGGGAGAAAACTCTGTCCGCTGCAGACGCTTCTCCTGAAACAGGGTTGAGAATTGAGGGAAGGAAAAAGAGAGTGGAGGAAATTAGGGCACATTGGTGACACTGGCAGGAGAAACTCTGGGAGCTAGAAGCGACCATGAAATCCCTGTTAGCTTTGCAAGGGCAGCAAACCAAACTCAGTCCAGGAACATGGCGCGGACCGCAGAGCCTGTTTTACAAAGCCATCTAGCCGAAGGATCACGCTCCAAGTCTGTCCCACCTGAACACGTTCAGCTGACGGACCATACCCATCGGAGTTTCAGGGCTCTGACATACCAGCTCAAGCAGACATAGCTAGGACAGCTAAAGCAGCCGCTGCCCATTGAGCAGAGCCAGCTGAGAAACAGCAGTAAAAGTGGAATCACAGGCAGTTTGAATAGGAAAGCTAGGCTGTAAATCACAGCAGTTCAAAAGCAGACAGAGATTCCCTGCTAGCAGAAAAGGGACACAGAACAGGGCTGAAGACGGTAACCCCTTCAGCCATCCTACCTCCTCTGTTGTGCAATCATGAACGAGAACCCTAAGTATTGACTCTAGCCCTGCCACTCCATGGGGGAGAGCCTTTCTCCCCACACACAAGCCCAACAGCCCCCGCATCCACGACACTTGCAGGCTGGAGGTAGTAGGCAGCAGGATGGGGTGACAGGCTGCTGGGATTTAGTTCTCCTTCAATCAGCAAACGTCCATGCTCTTAGAAGCAGTCAAAGAGAGGTAAACAGGATGTCATGTCTCCTCACCTTTTGTGCAATCATGTTGCAGATCTCTGGCAGGAAGTCTTCACTCAAGAGTTTGTAGAGCTGCCGCTCTCTGAGGGAAGTCCTCTCTCTGAAGCTCTCTGTGACCTGCCTCCACTCCTCTTCCGTCTGACACAGCAGCCACCATGTCCCACGGCCAGGCCCTCGGGACCCTTCAACAACATGAAAGGATGTTATCTCCACAGCAGTTATGACTAACAACTTTTCTTTATCCCTTCTCCTCTCCTCAGGGCTCAGGAAGAGCAAAAGATACTGGCAGTGGCCACTGTTACAGGAAACATAGTCCTTGCTGTAGACCCAAAGCTCTCCCCATTCACCAAAAGTACTGCTGCCTCCCCTACGGATGCTGAAAACGATGCCAAGACACAAAGGAAGCACACAGATGAAGAAATAATGGTGGCACTTTACAACACAGGGGTAGTGTGACATCCCTGTAGAGAGCCTCCATTCCAGTTATGGCAGACCAGAGAAAAGGATTTAATTCTTTTTCTTGTAATGGAGGCTGTCAGCCAGAGCAGGACATAGGGTAGTGCAAATGTCTGATTTAATCTGGCAGCAGAATAAAAACATTAAAAAATAATGTTATTTGAAATAAGCTTTTTTTTTTTAGCACTGCAACCCTTTTCTGTGGTGAATAAAATCTCCCTTTCTCCCCAAATGAAACATTTTGTTTGCAGGCACTTGAAAGAACAGAAAAGGAAGTGAAGGATGGACTTCATCAGGCTGCCAGATGAAGGGGAAGTTCCAAACGTTCATATCCCATCGCTGCTTGATCCAGAGTGGGATCTGAAGCAGATCACCCACTGCTCTTAAGCATGTCCCAACTACCAAGACACCCTGAGCTGTTCTGCCTTGTGTGAAACATTTGAATGTTAATCATGAAGGAAGGAGTCTCTTGCGTGGTGGTTGGAACACCCACCTGGAGAGGGGGAATGTGGTTCCTGCTCTGCAAATGTTTACACAGAGCAGAGAAGCCTCATGGATTGCAACTTGCAGTCTTTTGCCTTGGGACACTCTCTAAGCAAAATATGTTGTGGTCCGTTTATTGGGGAGGGGGAAGACGTTGGTTCAAACCGCATTGGGCTGAGGAGTTCCCACTCCCTCTAGACTTTTCTAGAGCAAACCACTGGCTACTGGAAAGAAAACAGTGACCTCCACCCCCACTGACAGGTGTCATGCAGCTTCTTTCTGCATTTTTAAGCAAATTAACTATCAAAAATACAAAGAAGAAAAAACAGAGACGCTTTCTCTCTAAACCTGGCCCTGGGCCCTTTGTGGATCTCAGCTGCCAGTGGCTCCAGAGGACAAGCTATCAGGTTGGCCCAGGAAGACTGGAAATCTGCAGCCCCTCCAGCCACCTGCCCTCTGTTGGAAACCTCCACGCTGTGGTAGTGGCACCAGGTGAGTGTGTGCAGGATCCAGGTCACAGAACACCTTAACCCACTCTTGGCTTCAGCTGAGGTTAATGCACTTGGGGCTGGTAACTAAAATGGTGAAGGACCAACCACGTGCTGTTTTTTCCTGCCCTGGCTATGTGAAGCCATTCCCTGCCCACCTGCAGTGGGGAGTTTACCTGCATGCTGTCCCTAGAGCCTGCACCCTTGTTTCCCCTTCCCATCCCACTTGCCTACAGGTGACTTGTTCCAACAGCAGCCAGGAGTAAGGCACTGCTTTGTGCCACCAAAAGATTGTTCCACAGCTGAAGAGATACAATTTGCTGGAAGGCAATGCTCTGATAAAATCCCCTTCAGCTTGGCCACCTAGCTTCATCTCTGTTACCCAGCTCCTGATCTGCTGCCCAGCTCCAGCTCTGCCACCAGGAAATCTGAAGGCAAAGGGAAGGAGGCATGAGCGAGACATTGCCACCCTTGTCTTTTATTGTGGGGAAACAAGCAGGCTGAGCCCCTGGGTTTTGTGAAAGCCAAGGGATCCACACTACAACAGATGAGTCCCAGCTACCTCAAACTCACTTTCAAGTTATGTTGCCAACTTGCTTTTTCTGCTTGCCTTGTTAACCCTTGTCCGCAAGACATGATTTGCCAAGCTCCGCAACCTAATGGCCACCGGGAATGAGATGCAAGGAGAATCAAAAAGGCTCTTCCTTCCCTATCTTGGCATGACTGACCCCACTCTCTTCCAAGTTTGAAAAAACAGGCCAATTACAAACAGGGGCTTGTGTTCAACTCAACCCCCAGAGGAACAAGGGCCATTCACAGCCCGTTTCCATCAACTTTAGTGGGTAGGTGAGCCCCGGGCCTAGTGTAACCTAATAGGTTAGGTTTCTTCACCCCAAACTAATCCACGATAAGATAGGAAGCCCACAGGTGCCCAGGCTCCCAGCTGAAAGGCAGCCTGTAATGCCAATCCCTCCTTCCAAACAGTGGCCCACTGGCAGAAAGACTCTCCCTTTCCTGAGAAAAGCATCTCTCTAGGCTTTGATAATTTAAAAGCTGTGTTAGCTGATCATATCAACCCTGACCCCACAAAATCTCTTTACCATTTCTTATCTGAGTCTCTCGGATTAGCAAGTTCTCTTCTGCCTTCTCCCTACCAAAAAAGAAAGGAATGATACAATAAATACATTACTTCACAGCACCAAAATGCAACAGCTTCTGAGGAGAATGTGGGACACAGTGATGATTAAATGAACAGCAAAACCATGAAATAAACCACCATGCAGAACATACATTCAACGTATATTTTCACACATATTTATTATAGCTTCATAAAATTTAAGGAGTAGAGGGTGCAGGCTGGAGTTTGGCAAGGACGGTATTTAAATTCTTACAGGAAGTATCCCAAAAGCTATACTGACAGAAGTAGCCAGGACTTTTTGCTACAAGCGCTACACAGTGAAAGCATTCTTATCAGGAGCATATGCCCTAGCACTGCATGGAGGAACTGGACCCAAAGCGAGGTGGCTGGAAGAGTGATACCCACTGTTCCTCCAAACTTGGCTTCCAGCTCTGTAAGAATTTTCTTTGGAAAGCGATCAAAGCATTCACCAAGCTTGAGCTTGCTTCACTTCAGAGATACATTGAAATTATGGTTGCACGGTATATACATACTTATTGGGGGAACCCCAGAAGTACATTATACTTCCCCCTGGGAGAGATGAATTTTACGCCTATTGCGGGAACAACCTTTCCGTACCTCAGCAAATTTTCTTCCAGTAGTTTTTTCCGCTTTGGAGGTCGCCCTCGTCTTTTACCCGTTTTCCCAGGAACATTTGGGGTGTTTGTCTGCCCCTCGCATCCCCTGCAAAATACCAAAACCACCAGGAAGTTATCTGCTGAGCAAGGGAACTGTGCTTGGCAGGATGGGAGAAGCACAGGGAAATCAGAACAGCTGCTATGAACCCAACCAAAGGAGGGATTAAATGAGAGCAGCAGCAGGCCAGGGAGGGGAGGAGAGGCGGGATTCCCACTGGCTGAGAGCCTGCTCTGGGAGCCGCCGGCGCGGTGCGGGGCAGCCGGGGAGGAATGCGGTGGGGCAGGTGGCATCGCCCCCCAGCAGGCTCCCTCTCCCGGTGCCACAAAGGCTGCAGGCCGACTCGGACACAATGCGCGACACGGGGCAGCTCGCAGTCTGCTT